TGGTAGGACAAGGAACTTTGGAGACAAGAGCAAAGGTGGCCCCACCAGAAGGAAGAGGACAGTCGTGCAGAAGGAGGAGCAGGGCTGGCCCAGCAGACACAGATGCAGATGATCACACAGCAGGTGCAGCGGGTCTGGGAAGGGCAAGAGGGGGCAGTGGGGACCAGGGAGAGTGGAGAGTGGGCTCATGGGGGTCACTGCAGCCAGTGGCTGCCTGGCTGAGATTCAGTGCCAGTGTTGCCGCATCTTCTGAATTTCCACGTGCTCTCTCTTGACTGTACAGTGTTGACAAGTCCTCATATTTTACAGAACGCTGTGTAGTACATCAAAACGTACTGTGTCCAACAACCAGTCCAGCAGGCCTGCCTCTAGTGTGACTCTGGGCTGCATTCCATACTTCCCTCCAGCTGCACTGCAGACCTTCTGAATGCTCAAGTACGGTAACAGAAATTCTACGTGATGTAGCCTCAGAGCAAAGTACTGTTAGAAATAAGTACAAAAAGTAGAATTAAAAGGTGTCCTACATCTTGTTATTTTTTTTACAGACTTGTCCATGTAATCATAGGATATCCAGGATCAAAGAACATTTTTTAATCTGAAAATAAGAAATTAAAAGCAACCAAGGAGAACTTACTGTGAAATTGTATACTAGACAAAAATTTTTTACTTGTTTATATTATTTTTGAATAAGGAAAGGCAGACAAACTTGGGCTGAAAATATTTAGAGAAGGAACCAAGTTCAAGATAAAAAAATACAGAAAATAAAAAACAAGAAGAGAAATTCCACATTAAAATCAGTGTACTTTTGTGAAACCGTTAGTTGATCCTCTGAAAACATTAGCTATGTCAATGCAAAATTAGTCTAGTAACAAAAACGAAAGGCTATAAGTTAATGAAAATCAGGGCTGAGAAAGAAACCTAAAAATCAGTCAAACAATTTCTAAAACTGGGGAAACATTTCTCTCAGGTGACGGCTAATTAATGTTACAATTAAACACAACAAACAGAAAAAACACAAAATATCAAAAGATGTGTTAAAGAGCTAAAGATCTTGAATAAAGTAATAAGAGCATCTTAAAGAAAAAATAACAAAAGGACACGGTTCTGGAATTTTCTGGAAATTTTTTCAAAACCTCAAAGCAGGAATACTTTACATAAATCATCACACACTACAGATGAGTGTGGCCTGATGCCCTAACCCGCAAAGGACAACACAAGTGAGGATGAGTATAAATCACTGTCACTTATGAACTAAAGCCAAACGTCAGCGATAATATCTTAGAGGCCAGAATGTGCTGTTTCAGTGTCAAGGCCTCTGTGCTCAGAGGGGGGAGCATTTGAGAAACAGAGAGAAGACAGAGGGAGCAGGAGTGGGAGAGGGAGGAGGAAGCTGTGCGGAAAGGTACCATCTGGGGTCTACGGAAGCTCTGTGTCTTACCTGAAAGTTTTCCAGAAGTCTCATCCAGCAAGCCTCACAAAAATACATTTGCCACATGACCCAAGACATACATGGATACATTATTAAGGGAAATGAAAGTTTCATCAAGGAAGATTTACCT